ACCTCCTTTACCTTTGCGCTACCGCTTTGCACCCGTCCGCTACTACCATTAATCCGATTTTCGAATGCACCCTTTTTACGTGCTTGGCAGGGTTATTACTTTGCACGTGCCCTAAAGGTTAAGGCCTTTTAAGGCACAAACAAAAAGAAAAATAACGCACGTGGTGCATTAAATAAAGGAACGCCGATAACGGGCTAGTAAAAAAAATAGCAAAAAGATAAAAAAGGGGGGGGAAAGGAAAGGTCCCCAAATGCTTTGGACCATTTAGGCAAACAAAATAAAATTGGCAATTCGAACCCCGAAGCGATAACGATTAGGCCTAGCAAGCTTTAGCAAATTACATAACGAAGCAATTAACCAACCCATTACAAGCAAGCAGGACGCGGCCTTGTCGGCCCTTTGCAAAAGGGGCTGTACGCGGGAAAACGGTTAATTCCCGGGTAAAGCCTTTACGAGCAATCGAGCGTAAAAAAAAGTAAGCGTTAGCCAAAGCGGTTTAATACCGCTACGGAAGCGCACCGCCAAAAAGGCGGGAACGCAAGCATAAAGTTTTTCCTCCTTAGGCTTAACCCAAAGGTTTTCCCCTATTTGCATGTACTTAACCGCAGCACTAAGGTTTTTTCCATAAACATAACAGCGTATAAATACATACATACATATGGGTGCAATAAAGCCTTTATCGCTTAAAAATATTAATCGATTACGGTACCCAAAGCAATTACGTATCGCTACAAGCAATATTACGATACGGTATTCCTGTACGCAAAAAAAACAAGCTATATTTTTTTACAACAATAAAAAGGAAACCAATTAAATACAATAACGGGTAAATTAATATTAAAACCAATTATTTTAACTTTCGATATTAAAGCAAAACTTTTTAAATAACGCTGGATGCGTTAAAAATACAAAACGAAAATGTGGTTTTCGGAATCCCGTAGCTACAAAAGCATAATTTAAAAATTAATTAGAAAAAAAACAATTTCCAATAAAAGCTTCCATTAGCAATTAAAAAAGCCCAATAGTTACGGGCCGCAAGCAATGTAAAAATAAAGCCAAAAAAGGGTATTTTAACGGAAATAAAGCAAAGCAGCAACTTTTAAACCTTATTACAAAAAACTATAACAACGCTTTACGGTGGATTTAAAAAAAGGCTATAACAATTAGCTAACGTATTTCCGAAATACTATAAATATTGGAAATTGTTTTAAAAAAACTTAAAAACGGTGCTTCCAAAATACGGGCCGTTTAATTACGAAATTAAATTTAAGCCAAATGCGCAATTTAAATACCAAAAGCTGTACCAACTTAACCCCAAACAGCAAAAAGGGTTAAAAAAGCAGCTATAAAAGGATTTAAAAAAAAGGGTAATTAAACCTTTAACATTTTCAATGGAATACGGAATTTTATTTGTGCTTAAAAAAACGGAAAAAAACGAATATGCATCGATTACCAATTACTAAACGAAATTACAATAAAAAATTAATATCCTTTGCTTTTTATCGACAAATTACGCGATAAGCTCGGGAAAGCCAGGTATTTTACGGCTTTAAACTTCCAAAAAGCATATGGGTTGCTTTGAATTAAAAAAGGACAAAAATGGATAATAACCTTTCGGATACGGTTTAGCGTATACGAATCGTTGGTTATAATTTTCGAACTTACCAACGCGCTAGCTACCTTTTAGCGGATAATTAATTACGTACTTTAAAAACATTTTAACATTTTCGTCCTAACGTATTTAAACGATATTTTAATATATTTAAAAACGTTAAAAAAGCACAAGCAACAAATGCACCAAATGTTGCAAAAGCTACAAAACGCAAAGCTTTTAATTAACCCGGACAAATGCGTATGGTACGCTTAGGAAATGGTTTTTTTTAGGTTCGTTATTACGCTAAAAAAGGTTAAAATAAACCTAGCCAAAGTACAAAAAATGGCCGATTGGCTAGCGCTTACCAACGTACAAAAAGTACGGGCGTTTTTAAGGTTCCTTAACTTTTATCGACGGTTTATGCAAAGGTTTAACGGTAGCGCTACGCCATTTACAAACCTTACCAAAAACGATACCCAATTCCATTAAAAGGTTCGAAAACAAATTGTTTTTAAGCAATTTAAAAGCGCTATTTTACGGAAACCAATATTGGTTATTCCGAACCCCAATAAACCATTCGAAATCGAAACCAACGCGTTGGATTACGCAATCGGAAAATAATTAAATTAGCAAAATAAAAAAGGAAAGCTGCACTTTTGCGCTTTTTTTTTCGCAAAAATTTAAAAAACCTAAATTAAATTACCAAATCCATAATAAAAAGCTTTTCGTTATTATTAAAGCTTTGGAAAAGTAAAAGGTATATTTATATAAAGCAAACCATTAAGTAACGGTATATACCAACCACAAAAATTTGGCACATTTTATTACAAGCCAAAATTTTAACAAGCGTTAAATCCGTTAAAACCAATATTTTTAAAATTACAATTTCCAAATTTTGTACCGAAAAGGATCGAAAAATGGAAGGGCAAACGCTTTAAGCAAACGAAGCGATTATAAGGTCGTTATTTTAAAAAAAACCAGAACGCTTTTAGCTTACGGGCTAAAGGAAGCGTTGGTTTTAATTTAGCAAATAATGGCTTCGATAACCAAAAAGCAAAGCTAAACTTTAAAAAAGATTTTGGAAATTTACGGGCTATTAGCCCATAGCTATCCAAAGGTTACCAAAATATAAAAAAAGCTCCGGTAGCATTACGGGTTTACCGGAATTCGAGCAATAATGTTGGAAGCAATAAGGAATTGCTAAATGTGCGTTAAAAACAAGCCCAGCAAGCATTTTCCTTATAGGCTGCTTTAACCATTGCTAACGCTAAAAAGGGCGTAGCAAAAAGTTATTATAAACTTTGTGGTTAAGCTTTTTAAATTTAAAAAGCCTTTAACGGAAATACAATATAACAGCATATTGGTAATAATAAATAAGCTTACAAAATATACCTTGTATTTACCATACAAAAAAAGTAGCAACGCGCTTACTTTAGCTTACGCTTTTTTTCGGCACGTAATAACAAACCACGGGATGCCGCAAAAATTAATTACGAACCAAAACAAGCTATTTACAAGCAAGTTTTGGAAAACGCTTACGGCGCTTTTCGAAGCAAAATACGCTTTGTTAATAGCGTATTACCCCCAAACGAACGGATAAACGAAGCAAACCAACAAAACGATAAAGCAATACCTGCGCTATTATATTATTTATAAATAAAATAACTGGATTTAATTATTACTAATCGCTTAATTTGCTTACAATAGCTTTATGCATAAAAGTACAAAAAAAACGCCGTTCCATGCTAACTATAAGTACACCCTTACAGCGTACAACAAGTTTAAGGCCGGATTTAAAGCTTTAGCAACGGAAATCCAAATAACGAAGCTTATTAAGCTGCACTAAAACCTCCAAAACAAACTGGAAAACCTGCGTTACCAAATGGCAAAACAAATTAACAAAAAAAAAATCGAAAAACCGATTTTTAAGGAAAAAAATAACGCTTACCTTTTACGCGCTAACATTAAAATAAAAAGGCCAAACGACAAGCTGGATAGGAAAAAATAGGGATTTTTTCGGGTTACCCGTATTATTTTTCCGGTTAATTATAAATTCCAACTACTACCAACCATGCAAATCCACCCAATCTTTTACGTTTTTTTGCTGGAACTAGCGCTTTCGGGCTTTAAAAGCACCAAATTAATAAAAATTAACCCCAACCAAAAATGGAAAGTTAAAGTTATTTTTAACGAAAGAACGCATTACCGCAAAAAATAATATTTCGTTAAATAAAAAAGCTGGGGGGATAAGCACAATACGTAAAAAAATACAACAAACTTTGGAAATTGCCAAAAAGCTTTGCAAAAGTATCGCTTAAAAAAAAGTTAGCAATAGCTTTAAAGCTTGCAAAACGCCCTAAATTCGGAAGAATTTGGTAAGCAAAAAAAGGAAAACCTTATAGCATATCCAAAGGATAAACTGGCAAGTTTAAGCAAAAAAAGCAAAACCTTTTTCGCTAACCAAAAGTCGAACGAAAAAAATTTAAAGTTGTACCGGGAATCGAACCCAGGTTTTCCCGTTACAAAAATAAATGCGTTACCATTGCGCTATATAACCCATAAAAATTATTAAAAGAACTATAACTTACCGGATTAAAAAAGCGCAAGCAATTTAAAATCGATACCAAACTTTAAGCTTTTGGGGTTAGCAAAAAAAAAGGGAAAATTAAGCCGATACGATTGGCTAAACAAGCCGATTATGTTGATTTAACCAGGTTGCACCGGGAGTCGAACCCAGGTTTTCCCGTTACAAAAACAAGCGCGTTACCATTGCGCCATACGACCGGAAAAAGTTATTAAGGAAGTTACAACTTACCAAATTGAAAAAGGGGCAGCGGGTTAAGGTTAGGATTAACCTTTAACGCTGCCTAACCAAAAGATAAAGGAAGGAAATTAAATTAAAGCCAAAAAGCGGAACCGGCTACCGCTAAAGCGGCGGTTCGTCCAGCTTTTTTTTGCTTAATACGCTTTAGCTTTTTTACATTATCGATGCCGCAACAAATAGCGCGCATTATTTTTTTAAACCACAAATTTTTTTAAATGCGCAAACGCTAAACCCGATTGCTTTTAGCACGCATTAATTTTTTGGCTTATTAGCAAAATCGCTTGGTAACAACAAGCTTAACGTTTAATTTGGAATGCTATTTAGCAATTTTGCGCAATTGGTTAAAAAAAACCTTTAAAACGTTGCACCAAGCACGTTCCAAACAAACGCATTTGGTACAACAAAAGGAATTTTTTAAAAATATTTAACAAAAAAAAAACCAACGGCTTTACAAGCAAAATAAAAAGGCATTAAAATCGAAAAATTAAAAACGGCAAATAGCAAAGCGTACCGTTAAATAATTTTCCGAACCGAACGTTTTTGGATTTGCCCGGACATTTTGTTAAAAAAAAGGAACGGTTAAATAATAAAAAAAAAGTATTTACAATTAATAAAAAGGCAAAAAGGATAATAATACGTGGCTAAAAAGGTTTGGCTATTAAAAAAAGGATTTAATGTTACGATTAACAACTACCTTTACCCGGGAAAAAAGGGTAGTACGGTACGGAAACCCGTAAAGGGTAAAAGGTTACGTAACCACTTGGGATTAATGGATCGGGAAAGCAAAAAAGGTAAGCTACTAATTTAAAGGAAGCTTAAAAAAGCTTACAAAATCGGCTTCGTAAACCAACCAATCCATAACCCTAAAAAAATAAGCATTAAAGTATAAAAAGGAAAGGGTTTTTTACTGTTTTAGGTAATTTTTAATTAAGGCTTTGGCATTAGTTAAACTTTAGTTAGCTTTTAAGTAACCTTTGGAACAAGCATTTAAACCGCACCCAAGTTACTTTGTAAATCCTTTTAATTTGTTAAATTACGTGCTACTATTCGATACTCCTTTGGTGCTTTACCTTAAAAGCAAAGGCTTAACTGTAATACGACATTATAAAAATAATATTGGAAATTCGCAATTTAACCGTACCGAAGCTAAAAAGGAAAGCCGGAAATTGTAATTAGTAAACGGAGGAAATTTTTTAACTATTTCGCAATAAATACCGGGCCGAATTAACGTAAAAAGCAAACCGTTCGGGAACTAATTACGCAATAATAAAAAAAATTACCAAAAAAAAGAAAAGCGCTATTAAAATAGCGAAAAAGTATACGTAACGTACCGCAATGCACAAAGCGAACATTACATAAAACGCTAAAAGCATATAAACCATTGCTAAATAAATAAAATACAAAAGTTACTAACTTTTTCCCCCCCCGTTACTCCCGTTGTTAAAATTACCAAACGAAAAGGTAGCGGCAATAAAAAAAGCGAAAAAAGCAGCTTTAAAAAGGAAGTTTTTTTTTATATTAACGGCGGATATTACCGATATTCCCGAACATTCCAAACCATTTTCCTAACCTTTGCTTGTTTGTAAAAAAATTACTGCAAAAAACGTAAAAAGGACCTTTCGAAGCACAAAATATTAAAAAGCTTTAAATTTAACGGGGATTTTTACCGGGGGATTGCTAGCAATGGGACCGGCATTTTTCGAAGCATTGGCGGAAATGTTTACGGCATGCGTAAACCGCGGTTACTTTCCGGAAAGGTTCCGGAAATTCCGCACCATTATTTTCCAAAAACCTAACAAAAACCCGAATATTTTAAGCGCGTAAAAACCAATTGCCCTTTTAAAAACAATAAAAAAAGCGTTGGAAAAAATTTTAACGTTTTGCATTAAAAACGCCGCAAAAAGTTATTAATTACTTCCCGACGAATAAATGGGCAATTAATAATGCAAATTTACGAAAACGGCTATGCGCTTATTTATAAAAGTGGTAAATACGGTTTAAAACGCAAAAGCAATGGTTGGTTTTTTATTATTTAATATAAGCAGCGCTTTCGATACCGTATTGCATATATGCTTTTTTAACGAAATAAAAAAATACCAATTTTTACAATAAATTTTGGATTTTTTTAAAAGCTTTTTTAAACAATTGGAAAACAACATTTTTTTTTAACGGCAAAAATACGGCAAAAAATAAAATTTTATACGAAATCCCGCAAAAGTCCCTAATATTACCCATTTTTTTTATTATTTACACGGCAAGTTTGTACAAAAAGCTACGGGAAATAAAAAGGGTTGCGGTTACGGAATTTGCAAATAACATTAATTTAATTAACTTTAATTGCAACGCAATAAATATAGCTAATAAGCTTAAAACCGCCCACAACGTATGCTTGAAATGGGCAAAAAAATTTGGAGCGAAATTTAACCCGGCCAAATACCAATTGGTTTGGTTAACAAAAAAAAAAAACCCGCGCTAACGCTACCTTTCCGTTTCGGAAAGGTTACGGTAAAACCAAAAACGATAAAAAAAGCAATGCAAATATTAAGCTTTTGGATTAATTCCAAATTAAATTGGACTTAATATATTCAAAAAATGCGCGAAAAAATAGCGATTTAAATGCTATTTATTACGCGTTTAGCAACGATAACGTAAAAACCCACGTTTACCAAAACCAAACATTTGTACCTGGCCGTAATTAAAACAGTATTAAATTACGCGGCCCCGATTTATTATAAATTTAACGCTATTTTGCTACGGTTTAAAAAAATGGTTAAAGCGTAAGCAAAAACGTAAAACAATTGTTTAAAAACAATAACGGGGGCTTACAAAAAAACCTTATAAAAATTGCTAAAATTAAAAACGCATATAACCCCAATTTAAATATAGCTAAATGGTTACGTTGCCCATTTCGAAAAAAAGCTAAAAAAGGGCGGTTTGGCGGAAAAAATTGCGAATACTTGCAAAAAGGTGCAGCGAAAATTAAAAAATAAAAAGCGAAAGCTTACGGCTGCAATTACGCGGCTATTCCGTCGACGGGAAAAAGCGTTAAATTGGATTGGAAAATCGGACCCGGAAATAACGGTATTGAAAAAGTGGAAAAAAAAGTAACACAACCACGTTACGGCAACCAAAAAAAGCGCTAAAACCAATAAAAAGCAGCCCAACGAAAAAATCCTAAGCCTTTACCGCAATTTTTACAAAACCTAAAGCTTGTTGCTGGTTTAGCTAAAAACGGAAAGGTTAAAATTTTAAGGCTATTTAACTTTTCGGAAAGTTCCCGGCGTAACCGCAACGTATTAATGCGGTTAGGGCCCGGAAACGGTAGCATACGTATTGTTATATTGCCCGGACCTGCAAAAACAAAAAAAAAAACTTTTCCAAATAATAAAAAAAGCAACGAAATCCTCGTTAAACCAGCCAAACGAAACGGTAATCGTTACAAAATGGTTTATAAAAACAAAACGGCTTTTTAATTACGCTTTATTAAGCGATATTATCGATACGTAAACGGAAAGAGCGGAAAAGAAAAAAAAAATAAAAAACGTTAAACGCTGCAACGAAGCGGCAAATTCGAAAAAAAACAAAAAGCTTAACCGCCCCGGTTCCAAAAAGCCAAACTTACATTAAACCTTATCGAAAAAACCTTTTAACAATTTTATTAATTACTAACAATATTACATACCAATAAGCAAAATAACGCAACCTTTTATTTTAACGCCAAAAAACGGGAACTTATTTACGCCCGTAAAAGTAAATTGCCGCAAATTGTTTTTAAAATCCCAAATATAAAAAATTCGAACCGCTAAATATATAACGCTTAAACGGCCATGTTATCGCTTTTATTTTTAAAACCGAAATCGAATTCGTTAAGGTTGCGGGAAAGCGCTTAAAAAGGGGGAGGGAATGCAGCAGCGGCTATTTTTTTAATTGTTACCCCGAGCGCCGCCGACACCCCCTTTACCGCTTTCGTCGCCGCCGCAACAACCCCGGCTGGACCCGCAACTTTACCTTAACCAAATTTATTAATAAATTGGAAACCAACCGCATCGTTTTTTTTTTAAACTTAGCCGCGGAATTACCAATTACCAAAAAAAAGTTATTCGTTACTTTATTATTTTTACCGTTACCGTTACCGTTACTAATTTGCAAAAAATTAACGGGGGTAACCTTTTTAAAATATTCGTTATAACGATTAAAAAATTCGGTAACGTTATTATAAAATTAAACGTAAATATTTTAACGAAATCGAACGTTTTGCGTATAAGCTTTAATGCAATTTATTAACGTAAAATTGCTAAACCCGTTACGTTTAGCTTGAAAATAATTAAAAACGATATCGAATACGAAAAACATTTTAATAAAAATGTTAGCAATAATAATATTGCGGCGAGCTTTAATTCCGGGGTTTTCCGTAAAATAACGGGAAAGTTTTACCGGGGCCGGGGTATTGTTCGGAAAGTACGCTTCGCAAACGGTTTTAAATTTAACGTAAGCGTAGCGCTCGTATTAAAAAAGCCAAATTTCTTAATTTTATCCAAAGTATTAGCAATGCACCGGGGACGTAAAGGATACGATAAAGCAAAAAAAAAACTTACAGCCTTTACTTTGCCCGTAAAATTAAACGCTTAAACGTAATACTTTTTGCGGTTCGTAAAGCTATTGTTAGCAATAAAAGCAAAACCTACGGATTTAAACTTTTCCGCGGCGTTAAATATACGTTAGCCCGATTCCAA